TCCTACTCATACTCCTACTCCTACTCCTCCTCAACTGCACCAACGACGACCGCTCAGGCGACTGTCACGCACGACAAAACCACACCCATCCCTGACACAACAGCAGACACCACCCATCCAATTTCCGATTTCAGAAGTGAGGACCAGGACTACACTTGCCCCCACTGCGACTGCACCTTCACCTCGCACATCAATCTGGTCGGTCACTTGCGAATCCATCTCACAGAGACTGGCGAACCAGTGCCTGGAAAACCAACGTATACCCAAAACACTCGACTCAACTACCCACAGTGTCTGTGCAATTTCAGGCATCGCATGGTCCTATTCAGCCACATGAGCATTCCCGAGAGCGGCATTAATCTCAATTCCGACACACCCACCACATCTAACACATGCACCATGCCCAGCTCTACACTCGCTCCATCGCCCTGCGCGCCCATCACCACCACCACTACCACCACCACCACTACCACCACCGCCCCACTACACATCAATACTCACTCACCGCAAGCACCTAACTGCTACCTCCCACGTAAGTTGGAAGTGCGCAACTCTACTCAACTGCACGAGCTTCATAGTTAGAAGGCTGCTGATTGACGCCCCCACTCGGTCTACGCAGTTCGTCGCCTTGTGTGTGTTGTGTGCAGTGGCGGACTGGTGGGCTGGGGACGGGCTGAAACAGCACCTACCACGGCCCTATCACGCAAGTGAGAGATACGCCATTCAACCCCCGTTGTGCTAAATCCTTGAGTGTGTGTGTGCGTGTGTGTGTGGGGTGTAGGGGTGTCTAGCGGTGGGTTCACGTGATGGTCGTAGTGGTCGCTCACTTGCTTGCAGGTGAGACTGCGCCTAGCGTCCATTTGCTGGCACCCAACTCTCACCTGTGGCTTCACGTAGCTGGGCTCTGCTCAGCGGCCACACCCCAAGCAACCTTTTCGACTGGCGGGCTAAACCAGGTGAGGGTATTCGTGCGTGCACCTGCACACGCGGTACTGTGGCCTCCGCTGGCCGGACGGATCTTCGCGTCGACATCGACGAGACGAGGCTCTGCCTGTACCATCGCAGGAGGCCACCAGGTAAGTTCTTCTTCAGGTAAGTGAATTTGCTTTGTTTCTTCCTTTTGTCTGTTGAAGTTCCGTGTTGTCTGCTGCTCTTGTTGCCTGCCCTCTATATGTTAGTCTGTCTGTTATTATCTAGATGAAACTCTTGATACCTGCTGCGACTGTCTGTCTGTCAGTCTTTGCCTCTCTCCGCTAATAGCTAGGTATTACTATGCTTGATCTTAAAGGATGCCCTCTCACTTCTGTCTCTGACTCATGACTGTGTCTGCTTGTCCACTCAAGCTAGCTGTAAGTCCCATAGCGTTCTGTTGTGTGTATCCTCTCAATAACTTCATCACCATCACCACCAAGGTCCCAGGCTAATTCGGGTCGTTCTCTCACTAACAAAAAGCCGTGGCCCATAGTGGAGTTCGGCAGCCGTCTGGGATAACCGGGCAGCCCTATTCAGGGATTCATTGCCTGCCCTCGCGGGAGGGGAGGGGCTAGAAAAGGTGCCCTAAAGATCGCTGGGAACCCCGCTGTCTGTAGGCTGGCCGTGGCCGCAGACAAAACACACACGGTCGAAACAGCCAAAACCGAAACAACAACAACAACAATCACTCTCTTCCTCCTCCAGCCTCTTCTTCTTCTTCTTCTCCTCCGAGTTTTCGCCGCCGCAATCGCCAGACTGGCAGAGTGAGTCCTGAAATGTTCGTTCCCTTTTAGACAATCCGAGGAGCAACCGTCCGGAACGGAGGACAGCGCTAGTGGCACGAGAACTGGCGCGCTACAAGGTAGACATCGCCGCACTCAGCGAGACCCGATTCTCCGAACAAGGCCAACTGGAAGAGGTGGGTGCCGGCTACACCTTCTTCTGGAGCGGTCGATCCAAGGCAGAGCGACGAGACGCGGCTGTCGCCTTCGCCATTCGGAACGACATCGTGGGACGACTGCCCAATCTGCCGAAGGGCATCAACTATCGCCTGATGAGCTTCCGTCTGCCTATCCGGGGTGGGGGCAAATTCGCCACCATCATCAGCGCCTTAGCTCCGCCGAAGAGCAGCCCCGACGCCGGCGCAAGAGACAAATTCTACGAGGATCTGCACGCTCTCCTGGCGACTGTGCCGACGGCGGACAAGTTGATGGTCCTTGGTGACTTCAACGCCCGCGTCGGCACAAACCATACTGCCGGGGGAGGAGTGCTGGGCCCCACGGTCTCCGCGGCTCCAACGACAACGGCCTGCTTCTCCTCCGCACCTGCGCAGAACACCGCCTCATCCTGACGAACACGTTCTTCTGTCTGCCGGAGCGAGAGAAGACCACCTGGAGGCATCCTCGGTCGCGTCAGTGTCACCTGTTGGACTATGTCCTCGTCCGAAGGCGTGACCAGCGGGACTTGCTGGTGGCGAAGGCGATCGACGGTGCTGACGGGTGGACCGACCGTCGCCTCGTCATCTCGAAGATGCGTATACGTCTACAGCCTCGCAGGAGGCCACAAGGTAAGTGACCCCCAGGTAAGCTGAATGTTGCCTTGTTGTCTTTGCCTGCTTACCATCTTCAATTCAGCAATGAGCTAGCTCAACGACTAGACAACCTTCTCATCACCGACGCCGCCGCTGCCGAGAACGCCTCCATGGAGAACCGCTGGTGTCAACTGCGGGACACGTCCAGGCGACGGCGCTAGCTGTCCTTGGTCGCGACGCCGCCAACACCAGGACTGGTTCTACGACAAAGATGCCGTCACCTGCAGTCTGCTCGCCGAGAAGAACCGCCTACACGACGCCTACGTAGACCACCCCACTGACGACAACAGAATTGCTTTCCACCTCAATCGACGCCACCTTTAGCGACGACTGCGCGAGATTCAGGACGCCTGGACTGCTCGCAAAGCTGAGGAGATCCAAGGCTACGCTGACCGCAACGAATGGAAGAACTTCTTCTCCGCTATCAAAGCTGTCTACGGTCCGCCGACGAAGGGCACTGCTCCTCGCCTCAGCGCCGACGGCAACACTCTCCTGACTGAGAAGACGCAAATCCTGCAGCGACGGGCCGAGCATTTTCGAGGCCACCTCAATCGCCCCTCCACCATCTCCGACGCCGCCATCGACCGCCTGCCGCAAGTGGAGACCAACGCGGACCTCGATCTCCCGCCATCTCTCCAGGATACCACAAGGGCCGTACAGCAGCTCTCCAGCGGGAAAGCACCCGGATCGGACGCGATCGCTGCTGAGGTCTACGAGCACGGAGGTCCCCAACTCATGGATCATCTGACCGCGATCTTCCAGGAGATGTGGCGTCAAGGTGAAGTCCCGCAAGACTAAAAAGACGCAACAATCGTGCATCTCAACAAACGAAAAGGGAACCGACAAATCTGCGACAATTGCCGTGAAATCAACTTGCTGAACATCGCCGGGAAGATCTTCGCTCGCATCCTCATCAACCGCCTCAATAACCATCTCGCACAGGGTCTACTGCCGGAAAGCCAATGCGGCTTCCGCCGTCATCGTGGGAAAACGGACATGATCTTCGCCGCCCGTCAACTTCAGGCGAAGTGCCAGGAGATGCGGACCCACCTGTACTCTACCTTCGTGAACCTGTCGAAAGCCTTTGACACGGTGAACCGTGAAGGACTGTGGAAGATCATGCAGAATTTCGGCTGTCCGGAGCGATTCACTCAGATGGTGCGTCAGCTGCACAACGGTATGATGGCGCGAGTCACGGACAACGGAGCTGTCTCAGAGGCATTCGCAGTGACCAGTGGAGTGGAGCAGGGATGCGTGCTGGCGCCTACCCTATTCAGTCTTATGTTCACGAACCCCTCTTCGCGGACGACTGCGTCCTGAACACCACCTCGGGATAGGAGATGCAACGGAGCATGGATCTGTTCTCCGCCGCCAGCGAGAACTTCGGTCTGGTCATAAACACGCAGAAGACGGTGGTGATGCACCAGCCGCCATCCCACTCAGCCACAACCCTCAACGCGCCGCAAATCAACGTGAATGGGACTCAACTGCAAGTGGTTGAGAACTCCCGTACCTGGGCAGTACTCTCTCCTGCAACACCAAGATCGATGACGAAGTCGCCAACAGGATCTCGAAAGCCAGTCAAGCCTTCGGTCGCCTCCAAAGCACAGTTTGCAATCGTGATGGTCTCCAACTATGCACGAAGCTGAAGATGCACAAGGTCATAATCCTTCGAAGCTGCTGTATGGAGCGCAGACGTGGACGGTGTACACGAGTCAAGCCCGCCGACTGAACCACTTCCACCTCAGTTGTCTCCATCGCATCCTGAGGCTGGACTGGCAGGAACGCATCCCCGACACCGATGTGCTGGAACGGACGGGAAACCTGAGCATCTACTCCATGTAGAGACAAATGCAGCTGCGCTGGAGCGGCCACCTGGTGCGCATGGACGACGAGCGACTACCCAAACGACTCTTCTACGGAGACGCCGCGACGGGTTCTCGCCGTCAAGGGGGCCAAATTCGCCGTTACAATGGTACCCTGAAGTCCTGCCTGAAGCGCCTGCAAATCAACCTGACCAACTGGGAAGAGCTCGCACACAATCGACCGACCTGGAGGAGAACAGAGAAGACAGACGCTGCGATCTACGAAGCCAATCGCATTGCTGCCGCCAAAGTGAAACGCGAAGCCCGCAAATCACAACTTCGCCCAGTACGCAACGCCGCCGCACAACCGCCCCCGCGTGTGCTCGATGTCAACGGACATTCCGGGCTCAAATCGAACTTGTTGGACATCTTCGGATCAACTGCGCCTCTCGAACTGCACCAACCATCGTCCCCCCGCCCGCCTCTTCTTCGTCCTCTCTGCCGCCAACTAACTCTGACAATTCTTCTGAACCACCACTGCCACCCTCCTCCTCCTCCTCCTCCTCTTCGTCATCCTCCTCATCCTCCGCCTCCTCTTCCTCCTCCTCTACTGCTCCAAGGACGGCCGCTCAGGCGACTGCCACGCGCGCAACAACCGACACCACCCCCACCTCTCCCGACTCCAGCGATGAGGATCAGGAGTACACCTGCCCTCACTGCGACCACACCTTCACCTCACACATTGGCCTGGTCCGTCATTTGCGAATCCATCGCACAGAGACTGGCGAACCAGTGCCTGGAGCACCAGCCTTCACCCACCACACTCACATCCACTGCCCGCACTGCCCTCGCACCTTCAGGTATCGCATGGGTCCATTTGGCCACATGCGAATCCACGAGAGCGGAATTGACCGCACTCCCGACACACCCACCACATCCAATACATCCACCATGGCCAGTCCCACCCTCGCTTTATCGCCCTGCTCGCCCATCACCACCTCCACCGCCTCCTCTGCAGCTGACACCGACACTGTCGACCTCTCATGCCCACACTGCCCACGCACATTCAACTCACGCATCGGCCTGGTCGGTCACTTGCGAATCCATCGCCCAGAGACTGGAGAACCAGTGCCTGGAGCACCAACCCACACCCACCACACTCACCTCCACTGCCTGCACTGCCCTCGCACTTTCAGGTATCTCATGGGCCTATTCGGTCAAATGCGCATCCACGACGGCCTGCGGTAGACAATCGCCGGTTACACCACACAACCACACACTCCCTACCCTCCTCCGCCATCACCAACACGCATCAACACTCACCCACCGCATGCATCAACTGCCACCTCCCACGCAATTGGGAAGTGTGCAACTCGACTCGGTCCTCATGCGGCTTCGGCTGCGGGGGTGACTTGAGTCCGAGACTATCCCGACACGTCAAGCGTCGTGGATAGGAAGGCTGTTGACTGACGCCCTCACTCGGTCCACGCAGTTCGTCGCGTTGTGTGTGTTTTGTGCGAAGTGGCGGATTGGTGGATTGGGGACGGGCTGAAGCAGCACCTTCCACGGCCCTCTCACGCAAGTGATAGACACGCCGTTCAACCCCCGCTGTGTGAAATCCTGGTGTTTTTGTGTGAATGGGGGGCCAGGTCGTGCTGTGGCGCGCGCAGGCATGGTCAGTCGACCGTGTCAGCCACCGCGCCCATTTCCCCCTCCAATTTGCCGACCGGCTCGGACGGCGGCTGGGGTGTGGGAATGGGAAGGGAAAGTGAGGTCGACGACTTAGCGCGCTTTCCTCACTATAATGTATCTGACGCGTTTGAAGCTATCACGGTGCGTTAAAAGCCGTGGCTTGGAAAGTTGCCAACTGACGGGGTAACTTGGACCTCCTCCTTGACTGGCGTTGGTCTGAGAGTGAGGCTGCAGTGGCTCCTTTTTAATGTGGCCTTTATGGCACTCCCATCACAGTGTGGGATCCGAGCCAGGCGTTGACGGCACGCCCAGGCGCGGCTTCGCTCGTGCCAGCCTCCAAATCCCTCTTGTGTTGGTTGAAATCCTGGTTATTTGTTGTGTGGACCAGGGGGTGTGGTGGAACGCCAAGGTGAGGATCCGTCCGAGCCATCCACCTGCGGCCTCCCTCGTCTCCGGTCTTCTTGACTCTGTCTTGACACCGGGCCCAGGCGGGGGAGGAGGAGAGAGGTTGGGTAGATGCAACGCAAGTCTATCGGCACTATAAACCCCTGCGCAAGTCACCGTCCCTGATCCCACCTGCTGTGGGGCACACGGTGGCCATCATCGAAATCGATGGTCGAACTGTCGTCGTGTGTGTGTGTGTGTGTGTGTATTGGGAGCCAGGTCGTGCTCGTGGCGCGCGCAGTCATGGTCAGTCTGATGTTTGAATGAGTTTTCGCATGTGACCCAAACGACCTTCTTTGTGAAAAGAAGCCCCCAGTCACTCGGTGATTCAGTAAACGCCTTCAAGAATTATCCTATTTTAAAGTTTTTTAACAGACAGGCGATTCCGATTCTGTGTTTATGGATGATCGGGTAAAAACACTGAAAATCATGAATTTTTCAGCAATATTTTAAGGCCGATCTGAAACTTAACGTTGTCCAAAATAAACGAGAAGTGTAAATTAATTCAACGAAAGAAAAAGTCTTTCCATAAACACAACACTGATATGCCTAACATCACGACCGTCAGTTCTATTTCAAGTTATTAGTCACCTATCGGCCTGGTAGGATGTCTCCTTTCGAAATCTTTTGTTCCTTCAACGGTCCCATCGGTGAAATTAAGAGAATACATTCTTTACATCTAAAAACGAAGTTTACTAAATTACAATCATTGATGACTTTTTCAGGATATTGCGTTTTTCTAAAAAAATCGGCCTTTCTAACGAACGCAACAATGTCTTTAATATTTCCTTCATGTTTTTAGTTCTGTTAAACTTGTTCCTAATTAACATAGACATTGGACTCATGGAATCGTGTCGGCTTGCGAGGGATTGGCAATTATTCGTAAATTTCGACACTTTTCACGAGTTAGGTCCCGCACTCTAAAGGCTCCCAGTAAGAGGCCTTCTTCGTGAAAATCTGCTCTTTGTCGAAATGTATTAGGCGTGTTCTAGTGTCCTGGTTCTGCACAGCAGTCAAATGAATGCCTTAGTTTGCGGATTAAACGCTCCTGCGACGTACGCTTCTAACAGTCATACTGAGGAAGCAAGCACTCTCATTTTACACAAAGACTTGGTTTACCTTGTTCATAGAAAGCTTGCTAAATCAGATGTGAGTATTCACCATGGAAACACATCCATTAGGCTGGTTTGTAGTAATTAACTTTTTTGTACCTTATTTTACGCATTAACCCAAGTCCGCAAAAGCGCTCAGGTCAGGGAACTGTTTTAAGAATCACGCCTGTTAGCACTTCGATGCGTGCTAAGTACTGTCGCCTCATTTATTGACTATCAGTGGATGTTTAAATTTAATCTTAAGACAGTCTTTCACTAAGTTGCAAAGCGCAAACGATTGTTGTAGCGTTGCGAAAATTCCCATTATAAAATTCAAAAGGCAGTTTGGCGAGCATAAGTCTGCTTTCGATAAATTCTCTTCAGACCCGTACATTTATATGGCTATTGAAGTAAAAGATACGGGCAAGTGGATAACTAAGCTGTAGCTCGGATTCGGAGAGGAGAGGGGAGGGGGCGAGTCAGCGGCTGCAATCAGACTACGCCGGCCGGTCCTATGCGCACAGAAGAACTTCGTACAGGTCCCACAGTTACCATGGGTCAAAGCCACCAAGCCAACCACCCGCATGTAATTACCTTCGCCGGGACCCACCTTCTCCCGGGCGTTGATTGCTGTAGCGTCCTTACTTGTCGAAGCACCCCAGCGTCTACCAGTGGGTTTGGGTATTTGGCGCGAAAGCTGACTTTTCGGGACGGAGTTGGGACTGCTACTGGCATGTTGAAAAATTGAGAGTTCTTCTCAAATACAAGACGCGGTGGAGTGTTGACGTCTTCAGAAATCCTTAATACACTTACTCATGTAATAATTAGTAAGGTTTATTTAGGGTTTATAACAGTAGGTGTGAATGTTTAGTTGACAAAGATGTAAGCAGGTATTTGGTACTTTAACTGGCTTTTCGGCTTGCGAAAACTCTTCTCAAATGGAAGAAGCAAAACCTCATAATAACATGGCCAATGCCATACGACCTTGACGTTTACCGAAGTGTTTACTGCCTACACTCACATAAGGATTAATGTGGCGTATTATCGGTTTCTATTTAAAATGATATTACTTCTTCGATTGTCCGCCCTACTGCACTTATTCAGAGATAATAACTGTGGGCAATGAAAAGCAAGCATTAATCTGGATTCATGAGGTACAGTAAGTGGGCTAACTTATGAAATGTCAACCGAAATTCCGAAATGCGTTTCCGTTTCGAAAAGAATAATTAGGAAGGGTTGTAAAACTAGTCAGCCTGCAACATAATTCTACAATATTTTCATTACCGCAGTATTCCGGCTTACGAATGAGCGTTTTTCCGGCTGCATGAAAAAACTACACTCTGTAAAAAATGACCAATTACGTAGCATAAATTTTTCTCATTGATTTTCAATGCTCTTAAAAATTCAATTATATTTCATGGAAAGCATTTATAAAAACTTCATTCTCTTGCTCATTTGGTAGAAAATCTTGTCTTCTCCCAATCGCATACTCGAAAGAAGGGTATAATTTAGTTTTCAAAATCTTTTCCAAATCCCGAATAATTTTAAACTCGACCTGCACTTCCACTTGGATTCAGGGCTTTCAAACTACAAGCCGTATATTTTCCACGTACAGATTCACATATTTCTCTACGGTGCTAAATGGGGACCATATGAAGTTCATGAAATTGAGCAGTGGATTTGATCAATATTGTTAACTTTACGAGCCACTCTAGTAAATGCAGAGACATGACGATTTATGAACGGCCACTTCACGGTATTTTAAAGTCCCACAATTAGAAACTTTTAAAAACTGAATTATGTCCTTCCATCGAGCATAAAATTAAAAGAAGACGTTATTTTCTACCGAATGAAGAGGAAATTGATTTTTTTATGCAAGCTTTCCATGAAATATACTTTAATTTTTAAGAAAATCGAAAAGCAATGAGAAAAATGCATGCTTCGTAAGTAGTCATTTTCCCAGAGTGAAGTTTCTGCGTGCAGTCGGAAGGAAGTTCGTTCGAAAGCCGGCATACTGAGGTAACTGAAATATTATAGAATCATGTTGCAGGCTGACTAGTTTTACAACCCTACTTAATTATTTTTTTCGAAACGAAAACGCATTTCGGAATTTCGGTTGACATTTCAGGAGTTAACCCACCTATTCTATGTGCGAGTGTGGCATGTAGTAAATTTACGACTGAGTATCATGATAAATTCATAAAATTACGCTCCAGTTTTTATAATGACAGTCAATTTTTGAAACCTTAGTCATGACATAAAATCCAAAGCGGTTTAACTAGTAACTTCTGAGGTATTGTAAATATCTACAAAATGGACAAATAAATCCCTCAGTACTGAGTTGTCTTTTAGAAGTTAATTGACTTTCTGGTGACCTCGATAACACGGCCTGTCATCGGCAACAAATGCGATCACTGGAGCAAGGTATTTATTGGCATGATTCTCACTCGAACCCATAATCAGAGACAGTCGCAGATAAGTGTACAGGAGAACGACAAATACGACGTAAATACTGAACTTCAACAACAACCACCCGATCAGTCGTAAACGCGGTTGCATAAAGGCGCTATACTGGCGCGTTGAGACGCATTGCAGTGAAACGGAAGACAAGGTTGCTGAATTCCGATATCTTCGACGGGTAATGTGAGCCAATGGCTACCCGCGCAACTTTGTCAACCAGTGCGTATGCAGATGGCACCAGAGACCAAATTTAACCGTCCCCAAATTTTGGCGGGCTCTTCCATACGCGAAGAACGTCCCGGAAGCCGTCAGTCGTCTTCTCACTCCACTTGGAGTTGGGGTTGAACACAGGCCGGCAGCAACCGTTCGGCGCCAAGTCATGAGACCGAAAGACCCACTGCCACGGCAGGAAACGTCAGAAGTCGTTTACCGGGTCTGGTTTAGTTGCGGAAAAACAACTACATTGGGGAAACTGGGAGAATACTCCGTACGTGAACTGCCGACCACGCAGCAGCAGTTAGGCTGCGAGACGCTAGCTCTCAGGTAGCGACTCATTCGACG